CGTGGGAACTTTTTTATATTTATTTTGCGCTTTTTCTATTTTGCGCTGCACTTGTTTTTTCATGCGTTTGCTTTGAAGTTGTCCTCAAGGCTGAGCCCCTCCGCCCCTCCGCCCTAGCCAACCGCTCGCCTTCCTCACCCCAAGCGCTTTATTGTTGCTTGGGCCGGTTGGTCAGCAAAAGCTGTTGAGCAACTGCCACAGGGCAAAACGAATTTGTTGAAATGAAGTAGCAAATGCGCCCAAGGTGGAAAGTGCCAAGTGAACATGAGTTAAGTATAACGTTTGACCTTGAAGGGTTAGGCTAACAGGTGACATAGATTATGAAGCTGCTGAGAAGATTTTTAAATGTTATATTAAGTAATTGGCTACTTGAGTTCTAGTTAAATATTTATTCTATTAATATGAAATATATAGTAATACTTATATAGAGTATTAAAATGCATTAATAAGAATCTGTGAATCTGTGTTAAGTTTGACCTTTTAAGGTAACACATATAATGAAGTTATATATAGAAATTTGAATATAAAATAATTATATTTATTGTTTTACTGGCTTTACAGGTTTCGACTTGCAAAGTGTTCTTTAATATAATACACATAAGATCATATTATATTTCTGTGTTTAATTTCAAAAGCTGAGCCTTTGTTTATTTAAATATTTTTGAAAATGCAAATGTGCAGAAATTGAAAGTTCATGAATAACCAGAAATATTTGGAATTATTTTTATATTATTTTTTGAATTATTATTATTTTTTTTATTATTATTTGAATTAAATATAATTTTAGAATGTAATGTACATAGATAATATTCGAAATTTAATTTTCGTTTTCCAACAATCACAGCTCATAAAAAATTATTGATATCGATTCAAAGAGAAAATAGAAATGTATTCAATCCTTTATTTTCTTCACCTAATTCAAGTTTCTGCAGAATTATTAATATTTGTTCAGCTAATGAGAATACGAGAAATTAGTAATCAGCAAGCAGCGATCAACATCATTAATTCAACAACTACAATCGTAAATCACTTCGCTTTTTTATTGACTATTGAACTTTCATAGGAAAAATGCGCAATGTAAATATTTTCGCCACCCACACATACTGCCACGCCCCCAAAATGAAGCCACTACATAAACTATTAAGATGCCATCGCACTCCGTGCAGCAGTCACCTTTCTACCCTTTCTCCTGGCGCATTTCGCACTTTTGTTATTTGCAAATGTCTGCGACTTTTGTGCTCTGTTGGCAGTTGATGTTGTTGTTTGTTGACAACTGTCTCTCAGCGTAATTGTTGTTGTTGTTGCTTCTGCACTCTACTCTATTGCATAATAAACAAACAAGCTGCACAACTGCCATCCAGCCGCTGCTCGCTCAAACAGCCGCTACTTCAATATCAATTTAACTTTTTCTCATTTAACTTGTTTAGACGCTGAGCAAACGAACAACCCAGTCAACTCCTATGGGCAGAGCTCCATTTGGGCATCTATCATTAACAAGAACGTAAGCTTAAATTTCCCAAGTGGACGTTTATATACGCTTCTAGGCGAGCAGTTGCTGAATTCGTAGTTCATTTTGAAAAATTAGATCTATATTTAATTTATGTATATTTAAAAACTGATTTTATCTAGCCAAAAGTAGTTCAAGCTAAGAACTTTTCCTTCTCTATGTTACATACTTAACTAAAAAACTATTATAGCTTCCTCTAGCAGCATGTGCACATCTGCAGGCAGCATAAAATTCAAATGCATTTTTTCAGACGCTCAACAATCAAATTTTACGATACTTCCTTCAACAATTGCCCATAATTTTGCAAATGTCATTCACTTCTCTACGGAGAATGGGCGTGTCTAGGCGATGCGTTGACACTGCGTGAGCAAGCTGTTAGCACTTGCTATAGAAATCTGCTGGAGTTCGTCTACACTGCAAATGTATCTGCCGAGTCAGTTAGCAAATATTTAGCATTCAGTGTATCACATTAGAATAGCCATCATTTGTTGTATCTCTCGAGAGTCGAGTTGACATAGTTACTAAACTAAGCTGAAACTAAACTAAAAAAATTGAAAGCAAAAATAGTTAACTCGCTTCCGTAGGGAACTCTGACAATACAAGCTTTGTTTCTCACTCACTGTGCCAAAGTTTGGATCTGTCGTGCTTTTCAGTGGATTTCATTCGCATTCTTTGTTTTTCTGTGTAAACGGGTACATAACAAAAAAAAAAGGGTTTGCAGACACACGAGACACAATGCGACATGTCAGCGACCTTTGCTTGTCTGATTTATCACAGAATCTTTTCAGCGTGTGTGTGTGTAGGGCTTGAAGGCCCTACTGTCCCAATTAAACAAGCTGAGCTAAGTCTAAATTTGACATTAGACACAAATATAATAAGAACTGTAGAGAAAGATTCGCGGTAAAGATTTTATGAAAGAATTGGCATAAACGTAAAAAAAAATCTTTTTGGAGAATGCTTAAAAAAATTTCTTGGAATTTTTAATGCCTAAACAGAAACCAATAAATAAATAAATACAAAAATATACAGACTTTAGAATAAATATTTATTTTTAATATTTCAATTGATTCAAATTGAAAGAAGATAGGTAAAGCATCGAATTTTCTCAAGTTTGCTAAACATATTTTGAGAAAACAAATAATTTATCATAATAAAGTTCAATTGTTAAACGATACTTCATATAGTATGGATGGGATACGTTGATATAAAAGTACCATTTTGTTGGGAGTTTCAATGTCGGATATAAGATACACTATTCGCTCAATATATTTACTGACCGCATTAAGAAACCAAAGCTAAATAAAGTTAACGGAAAGTGACTCTAAATCTAAGAGACGTTGTTTATGATACTGAGTAATGAACGAAAATTTCCTGCACATGTTTTAATACAGCTGTCGATAATACCATATTACAATTCTAGGAAATATCTAATTGATTTCATACAGAATTTTTATTTTTATTTTCTACATACATATATATAAATATATATGTATAAATATTTTATATAATTATTTTATATAAATATTTTAAGTGCATCTTAATTCATTCCGCATTTAGCCCAAACTTTCAATGGCATGCAAGGCCAAACTTTTTAGCACCTCTGTCAACGAGGTAAAAGAAAATGCGCTGCTAATTAAATTGATTTTGAAAAATCGTGAAGCTACTCAAAGAAGGTAATTAGTATTTCCAGTTGAAAAGAGTGGAATGAGAAATAAAAAGCTGTTTTGCTTGAATAGTTATATATTCCTATTTAGAGTGAAACCTATACACATTTATTTACTCAAGCGAATAGCTAGAACCAATGTTTTATTTAGTGTATATTATATCTTCAGTATCATGAAAGATATATATATATTTTAACTTATTCGCATTCTTGTCCTATAAGCTTACTTCAACTTTTCAAATGCTTAGAAGGTCTTTTTATGGTCTTGTAAACTCTTTGATTACTAAGCACATAACAGCTGCAATATTCGCACCTTTCACGTAGCCACGGTTTCTCTTACAGCTTTACAGACTTACAGCCTAGGTAAACATTTGCTTTTCACACCTTTTCACGTCTGCTGCCGCTATCGTTGCTTCACTTGCTGTGGAATCTACAAGATGTTTATTTATCTGCCACTTCAACTTGTATTCTCCGCATTATTTATCGTTGCTGAAAATCTGAGGCGTGATCATTTATTAAGTTGCCATTAATTTTTATAAATTCGCAGCGCGTCGGACTAGCAAGATGTGTATTTATTATAGGTCATGCCGAGTTCTGTGAAAAAACAAACGAAAATTCCCAAATCTCTAAACAAGACAACAAAGACATGAGTCTTCTTGGATCGGGCGTGCATGACTATCAAATACCTGTACCTGTTAGTATATGTATAATAAGATGTTATATCTACTTGTAAGTCGGAGTTGAAATGGAAAAATGTCTTAATGTTTTGAAGATAGCTAAACTGAAATAAAGGAAACGAATTTAATTTTATAATTTATTTTAAATTAGTATACCCTATGGTATGCCATTTTCATTGGGTTGAGCTGACGAACATGCGTGAGAAATGTTTTCACATTTTGCGCACAAAATATTTACTATAGAAATACGAAAAGTTGGATACATTTAATTTAATTATTTTTATAGTTTGTTTGTTTTTTGTTCGTTTTGGTTTGCCGGTGCCGCCAATTGTGCCAAATTTCCGGTAAAATTCGCAACAATAATAATAGGAGCGTGTATTATTAACAATTTATTTTATAAGCATCAATTGTGTGGGGAATAGTTGACGGGAAGGTCTCTCGGGTACGCAATTTGTAGCTTAAATGGAGCATTCAATGGCCATGACTCAACATAACAAGACTCATAAACCATAAAACTGATTGCACCTGCAGTTTATTAATTTTTTTATATTTGTTTTTCACTTTTTTTCCGTCAACTCCCATCCAAATAGAAATAGAATTAGAAAAGCTTAAAACTTGATTCGTTCTCAGTGCAGGAACGGGTTTCAGGTTTGTGTTTCGAGTTTCGACTTTCGAGTTTTTCCACTAGACACCATTTTCAATGTCAATATTAGCACGACTGTCTGTCAGTTCCACCTTAAAAGGCGGGCGGCAAAATGAATTTAGATAAAGATGCATCTGCCGTTTGTACACACGAGTACAACATCGTCATGAATAGAGCTTTTAATAGCTTGAATTGTGGAAAGTTGGGAGAAATAATCGCATGACTTATGTGTGCATGGAAAGTGCTTGAAAATTATGAGTTGAGATTATCAGAGAGTACATTAAATTACACTTAAATTATGCATGACATGCATTCATTAATCATTCAGGAACTCAGTCTGATGAGCGTTCCATAGAAAATATTTCATTATTCAGGCCAAGTGAAGGTCGCGTGTTCTCAGGGCAATCGATAAGAGCTTTGCCTGTTTATTGTTGTTAGTCTTATATCGAGTGCACTTAATATGTGGGTTAAAGGCTTGGTTATAATTGTTGTTTAATTAATGTGATTTACCAAAATGGAGAGACTGCGCTGATAGCTTCCAGGGCAGTGTATCTAAAATGATAGAGAAAAGCAGCAATTGGCTTGGATCAGTACAAGCTGTTTTGTGAAGTGCTTGAACATTGATTATATATAGTATATATATGTATATAAACAATAGCTATATATATATATGAGATGAGTCACGAGTGTAAATAGAGTATGTTTTATAGACTTTTCGGAATTGTATACAACAATTAGCTGATGCTAATACTTAGTTTGCATATGATGAGGCAGGTAAAAAAGTTCAGGTACATATATCGCTTATTAAAGCGCAAACACATACAAACTCACAAACAAACGTCAAAAGTTCAGAGGCGATGCTTCCGTTCGCCAAACAACTGAACAGCATGAAAACTACAAAAAAAGAATACAACAAAGAATACTCATATACCTTTATAGCAATAAAATGTAGAGAGGAAGCCAAATAAACATGAGTACGAAAAGGTTCTGGACTTGCAGATGCTCTATAGAAACAGTTAAGGGTTAAGGGTACATGAGATATTCTTATGCAAAAATAATAAATTCTGAATTGCAGTGAGTCTAGACTTAACTAACCGTTTGGGTCACTCTTAATATACATTTTTACTATCATTTAGTATATGCTGTAGATGAATATATACAAAGTATTTTGCGTAATTTATACAAACTACATATTCTTAGAATTCTTACTATAAATATTTGCTTAAAGTTCTGTTTATTAAATTTGGTTTAAGCTATATTTTATTTATGTTTATGAATACATATTATAAAATTCTAGTTCAAGTATTTATATTATATTTTAAAAATCAATTAAAATATACAAAGATTTTCTAATGAATTTAAATGCTTTTTTATATATTGGTCATTAAAATGTTTGATTTAATTTTCATCAACAAAATATTTAATGTTATTCATGTTATTAATGTTATTTAATGTTCATTTTTATTAGGATCAACTTTTATGAATTTTAAATAGCAATAAAATTATTTTAGATTGTAATTGCAAGTCTCTTGAAATATCTTGAAAAAATCTTTTTTTTCTATTTTTATTCATCACAGTGAGCAAACATAATTCAGTCTTTTACAGGGTATAGCGAGACAGAAACAGTAACCCTCCCCAAGCAGTTGAGCCGTGACACAAGCGCTCGACACGTGAAGCGTCACTTTCGACAAAAAAAGACAATCTGATAGAATGGGTAATACGAGTGTACGAGTAAATAGAGGAAGCTCTTAAGCAAATACAGCTATATAACAAATATATGTATAATATACATAGAAACTATAGCATGTGAATGAAGAGCGATATATAATATAAATTAACATTGTATCATAACAAATGCCGCCAATAAAAGTTCTACAAATGAATTATGTGCATATGTACGAGATGTTAATTTGATTTATATATATATATATATATATATGAATGTAGCATGTATGTATATAAATTTGCGCAACTAAACAAATACTCGTTTAGCACTCGAGAGACACTCGGAGCTGGATGAATATATATCTATTGTACTTTTATGGAACCCTGCTTATAATGCATGTTTATTTTTTTGAGCTCAACATAAATGAGAGATGAAGTCATGCCCAAAAAGGTGGGCAGAACAAGAAAAAAAATACAGGCGAAACATAACACAAAGTTAAGAGAATTTTATGAGATTTATGAAGGCAAACATGGAATTGATTGAGCTTAAGGGAATGAAATATCTGAAAAGCATTTAAATATATATATTATATTATATAACATTTCGGGTTTTCAACTGAACAACCTCACAGCTGCAGCATTATCACAAATATTTATTTCTAATCTAGAAATTCCCAACGTTATCGTGCTAGGGCAAATATGAATCGCAGTTTCTAGACCCTCGAGTTGCGTCTGAATGAAAGCTTAGACGCTTTGGCGGCTCACTAGATTTTCTCTACAGTGGTTTCCCAGAAATTGTATCTGAATAGCAAACAACAAGCAGCTAAAAGCAAAGATCACGTTAGAGTACAATAGCCAAGCAAATGCAGTGCGTAGGTATCATTTACACTGGACTCAGTTCTATACGATAAAAGCCCTCGTATCTGTTGCAACTACCTGTGCATCGAGAGTAGTACTTATTTATCTGTGTCAAGAGGTATCAGTTTTACTATGATGTATAATTGATGCTTTTCCTAAGCCTAAAGGTATTTTAATAAAATTGTATGAGGTTTAAATCTTGTTTTCTGAATATCGCATATATTCATTTTCGATTAAACTTAGCTTTTTGTTGCTTCAGTTACATAGTTGGTCAGCATTGTGATTCACTTAAAGAAAATATTTACATTCTTTTGTAGATCATTAAAATAAAGCAATGAATAATTCGCAATCTTTTCTTAAATTTCATTGAGCTCGAATATCATTAGCTCCAAGATCCTATGCATAATAAGGCATATATGTGGCGTATCGCCTGGTTTTGGGGCGTGACTTTGTTGAGGAATTGAATGCAGCATTCCCCACGTGTGACTGCTGCAAACTGTTCCACTAATTACATTACTTGGCCCGCAGCACACAAAATCATATTATTGAAGGCAACATTAGATGCGCATCAATGCCAATTAGAGTGTGCTCCGAGTTGTGGGTGGGAGCCATCCCCTCTCCCCTACTTTCCTTAGGCCTCTCTAATTCAATTAATGCGTAATAAGGCGGTAAGTGATATGAGAGCATAAATATCATATAGAGCGACAGTTGTTCATTGACATTCAATCAGGCCATACAAAATTAAAGAAAACAAATGAAAAAAACATTGCAAACTGCATTGTTCGACTGTGCGATACTCTGTTTGCAGTTGATTCAACTGATTCAACTAGAGTTAAATAAAACAATAATTTTAACATAATTAAAGCTCAGAACGGGGCTGTGGACAAATTAAATTTATCTCAACACTATTTGATCATCTTAGTTTATCTTATCTAAGTTTTCTCTCACTCTATTTGTCTGTCAATTTCATAAACTAATATGCCCTTTCTCAGCTGGGCAACAGTCTATAATAAATATAAACATGTAATAACAGCTATATGGCCTAAATATGTGCTTAAATAGAGTGGACGGAACCGTGTCGTTTAGCTTGTTACGGCTCTTGCACAGCGAATGACCGCAAATTATTTACGCTTTTGCCAAATTTCACTTTATCTTTGTCCGGTTTGCTGTTGGCCCAAATTTTGCTTTACCAAAAAAAAAAATTATAATAATAATAGTAAAATATTTGCGCATTTCAGATTCCTAATTACCTTATCAGCTGCCCATCCCATACTCCAGCTCTTAATCGTATTAATTAAATATGTTGACACCCGCTGCGTATTTTTTTGTTTTTATTTCATTTCGGGGTCAATGTAGTGAGACGAGTAGTCATCGGCTCAAACTCCGACATACTTACAGTTACGACATTTTATTTGTTTATTAACAACCAAATGGGGTTGACACAAAGTTCTCACTGTAGAGTACTTAATGTTTCGCTTTCGTTATTTACTTATTTATTTGAAGTACGTTAGAGAATTTGTTGAAATTTGTTAGGGGAGTGGCTTTTAAGTAACTAATGGATAAATGTATTTCATTTGTTATTTTCAGACTGACATAAGCATATATGTATATATAGCCAAATGAATATGAGATTGAGGTAGTCTCACAGGCACACAAATATAAATACCTAAGAAAAAAATTGTTCAAATATACATTTTGTATATTTCAATCAAAGTTATCATTAGTCACATTTCACTGTACTGTTTAAGGCACACACAACATTATCAGTTAATTGTTTTTCAAACATAAATGTAAACAAAACTGGAAGCTGCGGTATTTCGAATCTCACGGCCTTGATGTCTGCTAGCCACCTAAAGATTAATATTATCGAAGCACGCTGAGAGAAGCAGCGAGAGAAAGAGAGATAGAAAGAACAACTGAATAAACTTGGCATGACAAGAACAAGTTCTCAGCAGTGACGAAGTGGAGATTGCGCCTGTAGGGCCCACCTCCAGTGACAGTTGTTCTTGCTTATGCAACGTGAAATTCAAAGCTGAATTTGCCTTGCAAGGCATTTTACAAACGTCATTAAATAAAATTAAAAATGTGCCAAACGACGGCGGAAAAAAAGGTGAGAGGGGAAGAAAAATATGATTAGACAACGCAAAAGTCAAACATTTTGGATGTTTGCCAAGGAAAAAACCAGAGCTGTCAATGCTGCTTGTTTACCATAAAAACTAGCTGTTTTATAGTGTAGCGACAGTTGTGCTCTAGAACGAAATAAAACTTGTTTAGCTAAAGTTTATTTAACAAAATAATACATGGCAAATAATTTAATTAAAAATTTAATTTTTTTTTTTCAATGTTTATTTGACTTTAAAATAACGTAAATTTAAAATTGTAATGCTAAGATCATGTAATTTAGCCATGGTCTATGGCTCCTGCTAGAACTAGCTTTCTTGTAGCTAAAATGTTTGCACCACTAGCCGAAACTTGCATTGCAACACAAGCGCGAACATGGAATGTGAATAAATAAAAATTGAAATCTGCTCGAAAATTGTTTACGAAAAAAAATCATTTACAGCTACTTTATTTACTGCAAACAACAATAATAAAGGCTGACATGCAACGGGACACACCCACAACATGAAAGCAACAAAGATAGAAAATAGTGAACAAAACACGTAGGAAAACAAATGCAAATACAAATGCAATAACAACAGCGAAAACGAGAAGAAAACAACTTACCAAAACGGCGCTCTCACGCACCACCTGAGAGACGCTCTCTCTCAGCTGTGCGGCCATGCCCGGCTTATTCAAGCCACGCGTGAATTTACGCTCCATTCTCAATTTCCTTTTGCCTGCGTTCTTCTTGTCACTGTTTTTGTCGTTGTTGTTGTTATACGCATGCAGGGGTTAAACGATGCATGGAGAACAAGTTGTTGTTGTTAGTGCTGAAGCTTTTGTTGTTGTTTCTTATTGCTTGTGTTTTGTTTGTGTGCGAACCGGCGCCAACAGACAGGATGCGCTAGCTGCGCTGCCAGCGGCTGTGCTGATGACTAATGCGTTATCCTGCGTTGCTGCAGCTAAGCTTTCACACAATACATGTACAACCTTTGCGGCACCTTCAAAGGACGCACAGCGCAGAATTTTTTTGTTATACACAAAACTGGACCGCACACCCATACAAGCTCACGCACACTTGTACAATTTTAGGGCGCAGCACACATGAGACTTTTGACGTCGTATTTGTTGCTTTTAACACAGCATCCAACTGTTTTTCTCTCCTATTTGCTTTTTGCGAAACGAATTGTTTCACTCAGTTGAATTTTAATTGCAGCTGTTTAACAATAAAACACTTATACAAAGCTTTGCCCGTATGGCCGAAATTTCGTTGACCGTGTTTTTTGCTGTTAACTTTTGTTTTTAACGCCTTTCGTATCGTCTAAAGCGCTGCGCGTGTTTAGTGTTTTAAGCAATTGGTAAAACGCTCATTTCGCACTTTTATCCGACGCGCACAACCGCACCGCACGAATTTCGAAGAAGAATACTTCCATTTCTGCTAAAGGCGATACGTATCGAGCATATCGATAGCAGATGTTGCAATAGCAACATGTTGCTAACAATGCTCGCAAATCAGGTTGGCAGGTCTGCCGGATGTCAAACAAACAGCTGTTCGGCTTGGCGCCATAGTTAACAGCTGCTGAGAGTGTATTTGAAATGAGTAACTTTTAACTGTTTAGCTAGGGTGTTGAATTGCATTGCAGAACGAAAAGCATTGGAAAATAATAAAAAATAATAATAATTAAAATAGCTGCTGCCTTTGCAGCAAATTTTGTGTGTACGTCAAGATCAGCTGTATAAATCATAATTATGTTAAGCTCCAAATGGCACTGTTAATTAACAGAGCCGAAATATCGATAAGCTTGTTTTGTAAGCAGTTTACATTATATATAAGCCCGCCATATTCCAATAATCAAAACGATTTTTCTTCGTTTGCATTTATTTTGTCGATGTTAAGCGATTCGCATAGGAAAACAAATAAAATATTTGTGTATAAAATGAAAAAGAGGCTTAAAATCTACAAAATAAAGTTTTTGATCTTGTTTTGTTTGTTTTATTTAAATATTTACAATAAACAATTTATAAATTGTGCAAAAACTTTCTCCCCCTATCGCTGTCTCTTAAAAAAATAGGTATTAGAATCTCAAAAAGTTATCTGCACCACCATACGGGCCATGTCCAAAGTGCAGAGCATCTGACGTTGATTCGGACCGAGTGCGCGCATCCAAGACGGAAGCAACGCGCTGCTGGCCACTGATGTAGCCCAGAGAGCCGGATCCCAAGTAGACATTGCCGTTGGGCAGTCGGATATACCCCAATCCGCCAGAGCCTAGGGCGATAGCATCGCTTTGACCCGCACGCGGCTGCAAGCTCAGCGCCTGCTGCTCCAGAACCAAAGCGTTGGCACGCGAGTCCAGCTGCAGTCCCGCACCCGTAGACGTCGGCGTGGCGCCGGTGCCACTCGCGCCCAGACTCGCACGATAGCGATCCAAAAAGCCGGAGCTAAGGAACGGAGCTGGGCTTTCGTTGATATCGTTGTCGATGATCTCGATGACCGCATACTGTTTCAGCTGCCGTCCATTGGCCACGTAGGACTCGCCCGGCGAAAAGAGCGCCTGCTTGCCAAAGGGAATGCGCAAAGGCTGAGCAGCGGCTGGAGCACTGGGAACATGAATGGGCAGCGACTGCTGTGTGGGCGTCACATGGCCATGGAAGCTGATAGAGGACAGAGGTGCAGCATAGTCAGGCGCCGAGTAGCTGCTGACCACAGGAGCAGCTGGCGTTGCCGGCAGATAGCGAGTGGCCAGACTCAACGCTGGCTGTTGGATGCGTGTCCTGGGCAGCGGCCCATGACCTGTGGGCAGCGGCGGCAGCGCCGGCACCGGCGGCAGCGGCTGCACCGTGGGCAACGGAGAGAAGTGGTGTCCCGTTAGTATGGACGAAGGAGCAGTTGGAGCATAGGGACCCGCCGTTGGACGATCATAGTGATAGCCAGCTGGCTCAGCTGTCAGAGGATGAGCAGCGACCAGCAGTAGAAGCAACAGTCGAGGCAGCTGCAGCAGCAGGCGATACTGCGACATCTATAAGGAGAGAGATAGAGAGAGAGAGAGAGAGATACAGACAGATAGAGTGAGAGTGAGAGTGAGCTAAGTCTCGTTTATGACATCATAATAATAGAGCCCCAATCAATCTTATAAATGTTTAATGAGACGCAAACATAATTGATGAAAATCACTTAACGTTTACAGTTAACAGTTTTTTGCTTTTGTCTTTGTTTATTTGTTGTTTAACCTGTCGCCAGTTGATACCCTATAAGTGATTGAAAGGGCATGTTGACTATGGCAGTGAGAATGCAACTACTCTAAATACTCTCTATAGATCGTATATATAACTCTTTTACTTTGTGGTATATTTAATAGAACTCTTGAAAATTGAATAAACAAAAGCAACTCAAGGCAAGGCCTGAGCTTCAACTATAAATCAGCAGGCAATGCTGACAAGTTCGCCCAACACCCTGAGGAGATCAGACCTGACCTTCTCTGACTTTTTCTTCTTACCAACTGAAAATTAATGCTACGATTGAGCAATGAAACGTGGCATTGAAGGCAAAGCCAAAAAGGATTATAAAAAAGATAAACTTGATATATGAGACATATATTCATATAGACCAAGGACAGAAGTCAATATAGTATTAGGTCTAGCTATAGCTTCCTTAGTAGATAGACCCAAAATGACCTCTGAGGCGTAGGTAGGAAAACTTTTATATTTATCATAAATTTATTTGCCTCTGCCTTTTTTGTAGAGTATTTGAAGTGCGTCAACTTGGCTGCATTGATTTTTCGTAATTTAATTGATTTAATTTAGTGGCTGCACGCGTGCAGCAGCCACTATACGAACTCTCTAGCTGGAAGCTGTGGCTCGTAATTGGCGTGATATTTCATGCATGGATTGCGGCTCACATGTTGCCCAAGGCGCATACGCAGTCGCACAACTGCCGTGGCCAATGGCTATAATGGACTGCGACTAATTAGCCAGCTTAACGAGAGTGAGCTCAACAAAGGGGGAGCCCTCGATTTACGGAAGAGCTGTCAGAGCGGAATCAATAAGCAAATTTCCTTTTGGCTGCGGTAGCAGCAGGTGGCCTTAACAGCAGCCAGCAGCTCCCACCCGCTACCCAACTATCGACTCTAAACGCCCAAGCGTTGATATTAATCAACTGCGAGTCGAGCCATTCAGCGCTTGCCACAATTGGCGGCAGGTTCAAATGTGTCTGCCACTGGGTGGACTAGTTGCAAGACTTAGCTTTGTGGCGTGTGGCAAAAAGCGCCTTTGTTGCTGCTGTTGTTGTTTGTTTGTTTGTTGTTGTTGTTTGCTTTGCGCGTGGGCGTCGAGTCAGCGAGGTTCATGGGAACATAATTCAACTATTCAACAGTGTTTTTACATCAATTTGGCGCTTAATTAAGCTATTTAACAATAACAACAACAACAACAACAACATTAACAACAACTAAAACAAGGCGTGTTTAGGGGTTATAATTGTTAAGCCTTCAGCTGAGCTCATGCGCTCGAGTTACTTTTATGCGCTAAGCCCATTGAAATTGGGTAAGTCGAGCATATTGTTTTTGGTAGGTAATCTCATGAAGTATATATTCTTGATCAGAGTCAAAAGTCGAGTCTTTGTAGCTTCATCTGTTCATTTATCTGTTAGTCTATCCATCTTCCGTATGTCGATGCATCCCTCATTGACTCTGTCCATCTTTCGTCTATCTGTGCCTCCTTTAGTTTGTCCCTCCCTTCATCATGACTCAATGATTGCTGATAATCTAGGAAGATCTCATTGAGACGCCTTTTAAGCTGCATCCCTGGCTGGGCTACACATAGCAGTAATCTTATTTTGTCACGCAATTTGCTGTGTGGGAGTCAACTGCATCAATTGTTGACTTCATCGATTATAATAAATATTGATCACTTCCCTCTTATGAGCAGGTAGTGCTGCTCCATAAGGAAACAGGTTTGAGTTAATGCCTAACAATTATTTATGAATTACATTGCAAAGAACAATCGTGGAGTTTGTTATAAGAAATGAAAGTAAGCGCTCAACTGTGATTTATAACCTGCTTTCAGCAGCTCTTAAAAGGTGACAGCTATTCATCGGAAAGCTTATTCTTAATGAGATGAAAGAAGTGGACTTAATATTTATATAAACAGGTTTCTAGCTGACTTGGAATGTGTGATTAATATGTTATATGAAATATATATGTCTATAAGAATATATCTTTATCTATATATATATATATATATATATATACATCTCAATCTATATAGAATTCATATAATTAAAATCTCTTTAAAATTTTTTCAATTCTATTTTTTTTTTTCTAAATTCCCATTTGAGCTGAACATTTTGTTGCAATCTGACAAAGTTTGTTGCCTAAGTCTTTTGTTTGGCCTGGTCTATAAATCAGCTGGCACGCACCGAAAAAAAAACGCACACAGTTCTCAAGACTCGTATAGCCACATATATATATATATAAAGATTCGATTTGTAATAAATTTTGCGCTCCACAAAGTCCACAATAAATCAATAAATGTAACCAAACGCAACTTTTTGTACAGTTTTGTTTCCAGTTCCTTTGAGACTATTTTTTCATCATTTTTTGCATACGCACCCGACGCATTTTTTGCTCCAGCAGCCAGCAGCGTGTGCCAAAAGTGAATAAAAAATGTATAAGAAAAATTGCATTCAATGCACTCAGCAAAAAGTCGAGACTGGTCCAGAGTAGAGCAAAAAGCTCGTTGAGACTGTCGCAGTAACAAAAGGAAAAGATATATGTATATATAGTACATGGTATATATGTAGATTAACGTGTATATATATATAGTGTAACTCATGAGACAAGATCTGACATCGAACTGCAATTGATCATTGGACTTTTGAGATTATTTTATGAAGATAGAGAAGATGAATAACCAACAGATGGAAACAGAGCAACTGAAAAGCAAGTAACAGAAGTAGAAGTAGCTTGAGATGAGCATATGTATTAGTTTATGAACATTTATAAGAGTCCACACTCTAGATTAGATTTTGCTGATAGATATATATATATATATATTTATATAGATTGTCTTAGTTAATCGTCCTAATCAAGAAAATATATACGCTTTGTTTACTATGCCGCCTTCTACATACATACATTACATACATTCTCACAAAAACTTTATCCCCTGAGCTTCCATTTGAAACGTATTATGGCTATTAAAATGAATCATTCATGTAAGTTCTCTAAATTAACTTTACTTGTATCAACGTACGACGTACTTGTATCAACGTATCAAAGTACAAAGATTTCGAAATATTCAAATCAAAAAACCTTTTGCAATCTTTTGGTCGATCATCCCAGCTAACTTTTGAGTCAATATTTGAGTAGCCTTTTGCGTTTATTCATGCAACTGTGAGCGTACTTGACGCGTACTTGAAGCCTGCGCTATCAAACGCTGTTGCATCACTGCAACACTTTGGCTTGTCTCCTGGCCCCTTTACGAGTTGCTGGCCATAACAGAAAGCCGCTTGAAAGGCACTTGGCCAAAGGCAGCCAGGCAGCCAGCTAGGCAGGCGATTGCCGATTGCAGTTACAGTTCCAGTTCAGGTCTTAGATCTTGCGTCGCGACTCTAGACGCTCAGGTCTCAATTCGCTGTTGCCCATTTCGAATTCAATGAATGAATTGCATTGATTGAGCGACGTCGCACGCACCTCACTTCGAACTGGTCCATAATAGCAACAACAACAGCTAACCACATCCACATCCATTTAAGCACTGTGCGTCTCTCTCTCCTCCTCCCCCCTCTCTCACTCCTTTTCTACGCGCTCTATAAATTTCGTTTGTCGTTTGATTTTCCACTCGCTGCTCCTGCGCCGAAAAAACTGTGTCAAACTGCGGCGTTTGATTTGTTGTTAACTTTTGCGTGGCACTCAATTTTTTCTTATTTTTCTTAAATATACCCTATACTTGTATAAAAAGGGGTTGCTATGCGGCAGTGTGAACAGAAAGTATAACTATATATTTTTACTTTTTATTCAAATGTTCTATCGAAGCTATTCACTGATCTATCACGAAAGTCTGATCAAAGTCGAACTAACAGATCTAGTCAGACATTATTACATGAAACATTGAAACATATATTTCTTCTATATATCTATCTATCCAACCATATGCTACGATGAGTTTTCTGTTATTTTAAAAAAAGATATTTATTCATGTTTCTTTATACTCATCTATCTATTCATATATTTATCTATCTCTATACACTGTGAATCTATCTTTCTTTATCTATCTATAGATTCTCTATCAGCCACTTTAAGAGTAGAAGCAAATCGATATTTATCGATAGTGAAATAAATTAATTTTAACATAACTTGAGAACTTTAAGCACTACCAGCAACAAATTTGGTTTCTAAGCTTTTGCCTGATATGCCCACATAGATTCTTAGAGCAAAATCGAATTTAACTAGAAACATATTTTTGAGCATATTATCGCTTTGTACAGGGAATCTTCTAGTCGCTTATGCCCATCAATATTGTATGAGACTTTTTTTGGTGCAATTGCATCAGTTAAAGCAGCAACAGACTCCCAGTTATATATTTTGGACGGAAATTAGATTTTTGTGCAAATAATTAAAATCCTTGGATACATAAAGATTTTTTGGTTATTTGGTTTTGGGCCTGCGTGTCCACGGCGATTGCCGCTCACTTTGCTGACCAGGCTGGGGGCGAAATGTGGCCAAGATTGGGCCATAAAATGCAATCAGTGTGCGCATATTAAGTTACCCAGTAGCAGGATGTCACGTCATACCCTGGAATTGGGTAAGCGCTAGATGTTGTTGGGGCGTTGCTCGAAAGTGCGTCGCATTTATTTACTTTATTTCTTAATGAATTGAAACCCGTTTAATAAACTGGTCTAATTTGGCAAGCTGCCTGCGACCAGACAGTCGGTCAGGAGGGCGGTCTAAATATAATCTCAAATTCCACTCATCTTGCCGCAACGCACATCATTAATCAAATTTGCTGCACATCCTCCAAT